CAAGCTTCCGTATCCATGATGTCATAGTATCTTCTGTGTAACCAAGCCTCCGTATCCATGGTGTAAGAATATTTGCTGTGTAGCCTAGCCTCCGTATCCATGATGTCATAGTATCTGCTGTGTAACCAAGCCACTGTATCCATGGTGTAAGAAGAATTTCCTGTTTAGCCTAGCATCCGTATCCATGATGTCATAATCTTTCCTTGGAGACCTCCTTGATAGTCAGCTGTGTTCCTCTGATGTCATGTATTTGGTTGTAGTCAACAAACAATCCTACTGAATACCACCTGTTGTGCATTTAGTGTCCAAACAAGCTTATGCAACATTCTTGTTGGTGTTTACACAGGTACAGATCACCACACCGGCCAATTAGGTTTTTCTTTCTCAAAGACCAGAAGGAAATTGTCAGCCTGCAAGTACCTTTCACAATACCTGTCACCAGCTACTGTTCTAGTTACTACACAGACTACAATATGCATCTTCTCTTTATTCATTTTATCTCTTTATGCTTATACAGTATTATGCATTGTACATACTATATAAGCTTTGTTCTCTTCTATTTCTATGTTCCTCAGAAATCCAAGAAGAGACGACTTTTACCCAAACCTTTCCAAATTCCTCTTGCTCCTGAAGTCAATCTAGGATTCACTTCTAGGACCGCTCCTTCCAGTTATATTGCGCCGATCCCTGAACTCAACCAAGCACGAAGCCTGTGGTCTAGTTATATCAGCGAATCATTGAACCGGAACTGGCCTTTGATTTCTCAAAACTTATCACTATCCCGTTTTAGGATCCGGATTCCCTCAAGGTATCCGACTCTTACTCGATAGCTGACAGAAATCCTTCCGGTCATGGGAGCGAACGACTCCCAAACCCCCTCAAGCATGAGGGGTGGTTTGGGCCGCCGACTCCCTAAAAATTAAAAAACAATTGGATGGTCGACTCCCAAAGTTGGCCATCAATTTGGAGGAACGACCCCTGCCCGACAACCCCTCGACCAAAATGGGAGTCGTCGGACAATTTTTGGGAGTTGTTTTTCCGGCCCCCATTTTGTTTTTTGACTATTTTCTACTTACAAAGGTAATCTTCTTAAAAATAAGGGAGCTGGAAGGGGGGATGTAGAGGAGTCTGGGAATAATGATTATAAGAAAAAAACCTGAAAAATATTTTTTATTTTGTTTTTTGTAATTTTTTTTATTCTTGCTTTTTTTTCTTAGGAATGAAGTGAAAAATTACCATCTTACTGAATGTCAGCCTCTGGGTAACTAACCTGAGTGTTTATGGGTAGGTAGGTTGTTACTATGAGTTGACTGAGTGTTTTGAGCGTGGTGAGTGGTAGGTAGTGGGTGTTAATACCTGTCCTGTAATGAGGAGGTTTCACTCTACCAGTATGGTCTTTACTGAGAGGCTTGCTATCAACAGTGCATCCGGATCAATACTTGGTATTAATAGGCATCCAGGGTACTAGGACTCACCTGGGATTGATTTGGTTATTACGGAATAACAAAAGGGAATGGGCTAACAATACTTATTAAGCTTTAACAAAATTAGTTGAAGATTAATAGGTATTGTTGATGGGAATATTCAGCAAGGCTATGGATATTGTGGATAAGTTGAGTAAGATTACTGAAGCTTAAAAACAATAAATATAGACTAGATTTATCTTGTTTACGTGTAAAGGTATCAATATAAATGATAACTGGTTTAACTGTGGTCTGAATATTCTGGGGATTAATCAGTGAAAGAGGCATGGATTATAAGTTCCAGAATATTGAAGGAGGGAAAGAATGAGCTCTCAGAATCAAGGGAGCTTTGGTCAGGAGAATGAGCACATCAATTGAGTGACTGATCAGTATTTTTCATGATCTGTAAGTGAAATCATAATTGTGTACTAGCTGATCAATGCACCAGTAGCTCTTGATGTGTGTACTTAACAGATCCTCTAATAAAGCAGTCATTATTGTGATCAGTGCATGTATTGAATGTATTAATTCTATTAACACTTAATACTTACTATTCTATACATGTACATATTTATTTGTAATTATATTTGACCGTGAAAATACTGTAGAACAGGGATAACTTGTGGTACAGGTATTTCACGGATAAAGGAGTGAAAGGTAAGTGATAATTACTTATGTATAAAATGGATAAGTAATTAAATGATAATATAATATTTGAGATTATATGTCATCAATAAAGATAAGATAAAATATTATAAATTAAATTAAGATAGGATAATAATAATGATAAGATAACAAGAGGTAAAGGTAATCAACATTATGGATAAGTACTTGTGTACATAAGTACAGGTGTTGCAGTTACTTGGTACATGAAAGGTATTGTGATATGTACTCTGTGGCTGACACTGAACCCCCATCAGCCTTGATAACCTCTGCCATCCTCTCTGGCATTGAATTGATTAGGTTTTTGAGGATGTGGCTTGGGAAGTCGGCCCAAGCCTGAGTGAGAGCCTCGTGCATTTTGGGGACCAATTGAGGATGATAGAAATCTTGAACATTGCGCTTGAGGACAAGCCAGGTGTTCTTGATTGGGTTTACGCCGGGTGATTGAGCCGGCCAGTCAATCTTGTTGATGTTGTAAGAGTCCAGAAATTCACGGCTGACATGGGCAGTATGGACAGGGGTGTTGTCCTCCATCAAGCTGATGCGTTGGTCAGGGTCGGCATCCTTGAGGAATGGGATAAGGTGCTTTTCATAAATGTTTTTGACAAAGTTTTCTGCTTTTTGTTGGCTGGGAGGGATGATGGCAAGAGGGGTGTTGTTTTTGCTGAAAAAGGCCCCCCAGACCATTGTTGAGTTCCTGCCACTCTTGAAGGTGGGTACAAGGTTCTTGGGGCCGTGTTTGTCACCCTGCTTGCACCACGCAATGACCTGTTTTAATGATTTTCCAATCTCAAACAATGACTCGTCCATCCAGAGGACCGTTTCATAAGAGTTGCATTGTGACTCTTCACTATTGTACTTAAGATGTGTTGAGACCAGCAATGTAGCTGGGAGAGAACTTTTCTAGAACCAATGAATCTGTATTTCAATTGTCTAGCTCAGTAGAATAGAATCAATGGTTCTCTCTATCAGTACAATCCTGATAGTAAATAGGAAATGACAAAATGAAGAAGAAAGGAAGAAAATTGAAAAAGAAAAAAACAATAAAGTGTAACTCACCTAGCTCGGTAGAATAGAATCAATGGTTCTCTACCAAGCTAGGAAGAGGGGAGCTGAAGGGTCTTTTTATTAAGTGATGCTTATGTAATCTTGATGGTGATTGTCTTTGTGAAACTTGTGTGTGGCAAGGTTTCACACGTTTTCCAGTTGTCTGGGGTCCAGTCTTTGTGCTGCTTTGCTAATTGAAGTCGGCATCTGGGTGGGTCTTGTTCAGGAATGGCTTCCTCACCGCAACCCGGTTATTGAAGCCCATTTTGTGGGCTCGACAGCGGTGTTAGAACTCCTTTGGGATGGATGGCAGTCCTGCAAGGTGGAAATAGCAGTTATGATATTTCAGGTATGTATGAATTTCTTACAACTCTTACGGGTGTTTTGAAAGACCTGCCCCTCTAATAATTCTGAAAACAAATCTATTTTATTGTTGTGGCAAAAACTGATGATGGAGAAAGACATATGTAGTAGTCTCTTATCAAACCTAGATCAACATGGAATCAGCTGAAACTTAGTGGAATTTTGAGTGGAAAGAATTTGGGGTGGGTTACAGCAGGCTGGAATCAGATAATGGAAAGATTTGAAAAGCTGGGAGATATTTTTGTATATTTTTATATGTTTATATGAGTGAATTAAAGTAAATTTTGATGTGGGAAAAGGCTGAGAGGAAACTAATGATAAATATGAGCTATTCAAAGCGTCTTTGCCCTCCTCCTTAACCTTCAGTTAAGAGAAAAAATGGGTTAAAATCACTTTGACTTGTTAAGAGCACAAGGGGTGATACTTGCTACTTGACCTCTTCTATGCTTCCTGAGGTATGAAATATTTTGATGGGCCACCTGATTGAGATCACACTGTTGGATTTTACCTTAATTTGACTTGAAGACTCTGGGTGAAATGTGTGTAGCTTGGTAGATGTGCCGGATTGGCATGAGGAACTGATCTGAGGAGGGAGAAATGACCTCCTTATATAGTAAATTGTGGGGAATTTTAGCTAGTGAGGACGCCCTGTGAGGGATTTATGGGGGGTTGATAACCGCAAGCCAACCCCCCACGTGCACGCCAATCTGCACGCCAGCTGCAGATTGGCGTGCGCGCCTGAACGCCATTGCAGAATGGCGTGCAGGCAGGCAAGCCATCCGCCTGCAGGGGCATACCCTGCAGGTTGCGTGCCTGCGTGCATGCCCAACCTTAGGTCCTAAACGCATATTTATATGCGTTTAGGACCTGGGCCGTCCCATAGGACCCAGGCATGGGTCCTATGGGACGGCCCAGGTCCTAAACGCATATAAATATGCGTTTAGGACCTAAGGTTGGGCGTGCACGCAGGCACGCCAACCTGCAGGGTATGCCCCTGCAGGCGGATGGCTTGCCTGCCTGCACGCCATTCTGCAATGGCGTGCAGGCGCGCACGCCAATCTGCAGATTGGCGTGCGCGTGGGGGGTTGGCTTGCGGTTATCAACCCCCGGATTTATGCTTGTGTGACTTCTTCTTTGAGGCATTTTTGCTGCTGGGATCTTCTTATATTGAGCCATTTTTGCTGGTGTGTCATGTGATCTGCACTGCCCCATACAGAAAATCACACGTGTTGCGGAATGTTCTTCCTATGTTGAGGCATTTTTTCTGGTATGTTGTGAAAATATGTGTGATCCAAGCGTGTGATCATGAATGTGACTAAACATGTGATCATAAATATGCCTGTACAAACAAAGATTGCAACTATGCACTTATATATAAATCTATACTATGTACTACCCAGGACAACTATACTATGCTGTAATAACAAAAACTGATTTATCCAAATAACTTTTGACTGAGTGGAGCTAGCCTAGCAGTTCCATATGGGTTAAATGACCTGTAGAATCTATTAAAGTAATAATGACACCAAGAATATAGCCTATTATCAAGAGTGGATCATGACTTTATGCAATTTGGTACTTGAAACAATTTTGGCACACTACAGAGGGTGGTTTTGGTTGAAATTGGTGTGGTCAGGATGTCTTTGACCTCGGCCATCTTCATCCAGGGATTTTTGTTGAGGACCTTCTCCAGCTCGCAAAGGTCTTGGTCATTGGTCATGCGCAGTTGTCCGCTTCTGGGGGCTGTTGCAATGGTACTGCGCTCGGCTGATCAAGCAATGATCGCAGAGATTGTTGTTTGTCCAATCCCAAGCCTAGATCCAATGGCAGTAGGCGTCATCCCAACAACCTTTGCCTTCTGCTTGGGTGACAAGTGGGGCTTGCATTTGGGGTTCAGACCATCTAGAAAAAAAAAATACAAGTTAGTTTTTTTCATGAATACTAAAAAGAAGGAAACTGACATTGATTGGTGATGGTCTGGTTGGTTGTTCCAAGGAGGCAAGGAAGTTTTATGGGGTGATGAGGATTGATTGGAGTGGTTGACCTTGTTGACCACCCCAATCACTACAAATATGACAAGCCAGTGCATCACCAGTTTGTACCCCAAGTTACCCCGCGCCAAAAATATTGGGGCACCCACTGTACACATCCCCACCAATTCAATAGTTGCAGGGGGAAAGAGAACCCCATCATTCACAGTCAATGTTGTTAAGGTAACTACAAATGATAGAATATTAGACTGATTCAGAGGGCTGGGGAGGATGCGGGCCAGGATAGGTTAAGGTGCCTGTTTATAGATGAGGACGTTGTAGTGTGCCAAATGTGTTTCAAGTACCAAATTGCATAAAGTCATGATCCACTCTTGATTATAGGCTAGATTCTTGGTGTTATTATTACTTCATTAGACTCTACAGGTCATTTAACCTATAGTCACTCACTGGAACCACTAGGCTAGCTCCACTCAGTCAAAAGTTATTTGATAAATCAGTTTTTTACTACAGTATAGTATAGTTGTCTTGGGTAGTACATAGTATAGATTTATATATAAGTGCATAGTTGCAATCTTTGTTTGTACAGGCATATGTATGATCACATGTTTAGTCACATGCTTGGATCACACGTATTTTCACATGACATCACCAGCCACACGCTTGGATCACACGTATTTTCACATGACATCACCAGCCACACGCTTGGATCACACATATTTTCACAACATACCAGCAAAAATGCCTCAACATAGAAGGAACATTCCGCAACACGTGTGATTTTCTGTATGGGGCAGTGCAGATCACATGACACACCAGCAAAAATGGCTCAATAGAAGCTTCCAAGCAGCAAAAATACCTCAAAGAAGAAGTCACACCAGCATAAATCCCTCACAGGACGTCCTCACTAGCTAAAATCCCTCACAATTTGCTATATAAGGAGGTCATTTCTCCCTCCTCAGATCAGTTCCTCATGCCAATCCGGCACATCTACCAGCTACACACATCCCACTCAGAGTATTCAAGTCAACTTAAGTTAAAATCCAACAGTGTGATCTCAATCAGGTGGCCCATCAACATCTTTCATACCTCAGGAAGCATAGAAGAAGTCAAGTAGCAAGTATCACCCCTTGTGCTCTTAACACGTCAAAGTGATCTTAACCCATTTTTTCTCTTAACTGAAGGTCAAGGAGGAGGGCAAAGACACTTTGAATAGTTCATATCTTATCATCAGTCTTCTCTCAGTCTTTTTCATATCAACATTTACTTTACTTCACTCATATAAACATATAAAAACATACAAAAATATCTCCCAGCTTTTCAACTCTTTCCCTTATCTGATTCCAGACTTCTGTAAACCACGCCAAATCCTTTCCACTCAAAATTCCACTAAGTCTCAGCTGATTTCACGTTGATCTAGGTTTGATAAGAGACTACTACATAAAGTTTTTCTCTATCATAGGTTTTGCCACAACAATTAAATAAATTTGTTGTCAGAATTCTTGTGTAGTACATTAGAGGGGCAGGTCTTTCAAACCACCCGTAACAATATATATCAAACAAAGTCCAATATCATATTTGTTATTTCCCCCTCTCAGGACTGCCATCCATCCCAAAGGAGTTCTCACAACGTGGCAGAGCTGGGAGCTCACTAGTATGAGAAAAAAGGTGTAAAAATATGTAATTTGTAATAAAAGAAAAAAACAGTAGAATTTTTAAATGGGCCAGATGGCTACCCTTAAGGTATACCACAGCAGCCAGGAAAAGGCCATGGGTTACTTTAACTTAAGCCAACAGTTGATATTTCTAGTCAAGCAATAACAAGTTGTGGCCATCATCTCAATCAATCCAGAAGGCTGGGGTATGAAAGAGTGCATTTCAAAGATAGGAGTAATTAATTGATTGGTTCAACAAACCAATACCATTAATGGACAACTTCCTGTTGGATCTGGGGCCCTCCCAGCTTTCAACTTAGACCCAAAAAACTATATATTCTTGCAGAGAAATTCCATCCGCACCAATTCAGATTTTTATAAAACTTTAATTGTAAGTGCACCAGTATGAATGACTAGTGAATGTGTGACTCAACTTCCAAAATCTTAGGTGTGAATGGCCTGGTGATGCCAATTGATAAGAGACTATGTCAGTCAGCAATGATGCAGTGTTCTTGGCAATCAACAAATAAAATGAAAGTGGGTGTCAGTATTGTTGACCCAATTCCTTGATTATAGCAGCAGCACTGCTGCTCTTGGCTTTCTTCCTATGATCTGCCTTTCTTTAGGTTCCTTATATACTTAGCCAAACGTGGTATGTACCTTATATGTTCAAGTGTGGTACTTGATTGAAGTGCAATGTGATTTGATGTCAAACTCTTTAATCATAACATCCAAGCCCAATCTGAGTAAAATAGGGAACTGTTTTTTTTTTCAAGATGATTATCTTTTTATCTACATGATTGTAATTATCTTTGGCATTTTATCAAGAAAGGATCAGTCTCCAACAGAGGACAAAAAGAAAGGAAAACAGGGAGGAAATGAAATAGAACTAGAGTAGTGGTTAAGATGTAAATAGTAGGCTTGAAATCGACCTAATCAAAATTTCCATATAATTCTTCCTCGTCCTGATTGATTCTTTTGTAAATCCTCCAGAAGCCTGCCAAGAACAAACATATGATCAGTTGGATCCTTCAAGCAAGCTTATGATATGCTTGTTTTTGTGCTATTTTCAGAAAAGAAAAATGCTTACTAGATCAATATTGGGCAATTTCACAAATGTTGGCCTTAGAAATTCCAAACATTCTTCTTTCAAAAGATTGATATCCAAATCGTTACCGTTCTTATTATTGAGGGACCGGTTACCCATCAAAGAATTATTGATGGTATTTTGACTGGTAGTGCCGAAAAGGTTTGCGTTATCTTTATTCGCGCTCCGTTTGCCCGACAGAAGATCAAAGTTTGATTTCCCGAGTCCACCAAGTAATGAAGACGACGATCGTGGTAAAGTCGACATTCCTTCACTACCGACACCGTGGCTCCCGTCATCCATCTCACTTTGTTGAAGGTAATATGAAGCGTTCCTCCAGAATAAGCATAGCGTCATGTCTATCATATCTATATAATTTATTTTCAACAACATGTCGCAAAACGTTGAGATCATCAATATTCTGTTACCATTTCAATTGCACGGAGGGACTTCAAAAGCAGATTGAAAACATACCCAAGATTGCCACTGATCGTGCATAAGATTTGGCGTGAGCTTCAGTCACCTTCTGTTTAGCTCGAAGTTTCCGATCTGATTCGTGTGCTTTAAATTCATCATCTTCCCCTAGAATCTAGAAGAAGCAAAACAACAGAAATCAATTTCTGCTTTCAGATGCAATAGAGCGAGCGGAGGAAAATATGGGAGGAAAATATGCTGGGAAAAATGTTGAACAAGATGAGTTGCTGAATGTACCTCTGCAACTTCTTCCCGACTGATTCTACCCCAATTGTTCAGCCTATGGGTCAGGCTGCTGGTTTGAAAAACGGTGAACTCCAGCAAATTGGTCGAATCTCGGAGGAAACTGAGAACGGTTCCAAACGTGGGACCCGGTCCTATTTTCCCAATCAAGTGATAATTTGAAACGACGCGTCAGTTGGCAAATCTCTCGCCTGCTTGACTACCACGCATGTAAGAGCCTTACTTACCAACCATGCCATTGGTGGATTCAAGTTGTTTAAGAGTCGGTGAAATCACGGGTATGAATCTTACTCGAGCTGATTAGGGTTCATCATCAGTCACTAGTTAGTTTGATGATAAGGTTGACATGGTGAAACTTGAGCCCACCACGCCTTTGAGATGCTACTCTCAAGTACGTCAAGATACTGCTTTCTAACGTCAGTCCGAGATCTCTGATTTGCTCTTGGAAGACTGTGAATGGAGCATTGGAGCCTTGAAATACAAACCAAACATTTCGAGATTTTAATTCATGATGCTGTCAAAATAATTGAGCGGAATTTTCATTACCTGGTACGATTCGCGCTACATTTTCCCGCTCCAGTTCAGTTGCAGGTATAATGTTATTCATCCAAGCTTGACTCCCACACACAACGTTCGCGATGGCAAGGATGCCGGTGTGGAGTGCACCGAAATCCGTAGAGGAGGCCTGAAAACGCCATTGAAACAAAAATCAAACAATGCTCAAAACTTATTTGGATAGGTATCATATCAACTTCTACCCACAATTTCTTGGTCACCGACGGCCGGCAAAGCTATTCTTAAAATACTAGTAATAAGGAGTAACTCTTGAATTCCGATGCTAGATGTCAGCATGCTCGCAGAGCGAATGCATGTCATGATCATCTCTCTTTGTGCGTTGATGAAGCTCAAAGCCTTTGGGGAAAAAACTCACGTCAGTCTGCTATCATACCCAAAACTATTTGAGGAAAAAAAGTAAATTGTATCTTACTTCCCGAGTAGCCAGACCGGACTCAGAGCCTAGACTAATGAGGACACATGCGACCAATTGCAGTGCAGGAAGCAGTAGTTGATGGTATCTTTCCGACGCAGATGGAATGAACATATCGAACTCTGTAAAGTGATATGAGTTAATAAGCTGGCAATTTCGATCAGATTCATCACTGGCTTACCTTCATGAGGAGACAGGCTCTGCGGTGAGCTACTCAGATAATTACACTGCCCCAGTCTCACTAGCAACTTCGCGTCAATGAGTTTCTCAGCACCCGCTTGACTTGAGGCCACGCGTAGCAAGAATGCCATTTGGGTCTCGTAGACATACAAGGCGTTCAGGGATTCTGATAAAATAAAGGGATAGCCGATAAATAAGAATGGGTATTAGATGCAGAAGAACGTTAAACTTCACACACCTGGGTCTGGCTCAAGAACTGCGAGAAGATCACCTTCTGCATCTTTCACAAAGTCTACAAAGTTCTTCATAAATCCATTCCTCCACAAGACAGCCATTAATTTAGAGCCAGATCTTGAGCGATCGGATAACATCAAGAGCGAGTCCAGAGCGGTAAAAGCGACTGATTTCCACACCTCACTACCCATGATAGCATCTTTGGATATTACTGGTAGCAGTCGATCAAAAGCTGTAGATATCATGGCAATAGTATTGGCCTCCAGAGTGCTCCGAGAAGAACTCCATTGACTGACAATAGTGGAGGCCGCATCAGATGGAGGGAGCAGTGCGTCGGTCAGCTTCATTATGTCTTGTGGCGAGAAGCACTGTAAAGCTGCTGAATCAGCATTGCTGGTAGCGTAGACATGCTGAAGAAATCCTAGTAATGATGCGTATAGATTGCCTCGGATGATGTTTGAAGTGTTTGAAAGGACGATGCTCTGAACGATTGTCTTCAGAATAGGTATCATTCGATCGAAGGGGAAAGCTTGAGCTGCTTCGCCAGTGGCTAGGGATCCTAATTGAGTTCCTTCATGGCGTAATTTGATCATCAGAGCGACAACGATCTCGCTCAACAGCTCGGCGGAATCTGAGTCAACTTGACCTTCTACCAACTTCGACAGAACTGAACCCAGCAGATCGAGCAAAAAGATATGTCGATTCTCGGCTGGAATCAAGTGAAAAGCCCGGCTCAAAGTCAGGCGAAGTAATGTGCTCCATGAGCGTAACATATGGTACTGAGCTGAGGCAATCTGTCGCCGTTGATTTTCGACGACAATAGATTCAATGACAAATTTGATTTCTTCCTGCATCTCAGCCTGCTGCGCAGCAGTGTTCAAAAGGCCACGACGTTTAATCTCTTGTCGGGTAGCTCCAAGCATGCTGAGGATTGCACCTAAATCAAATAGCTGACAGCCAGTGCTATCGATGACGCAACACTGATCAAAGTTAAGGGTTGCAAAAAAGTTCAATGGGCGAGGCTCGATTGTCGTGTTGTTCTTCCAGGCAAAATCCAAGTATAAAAACAATTCTTGCATCCTTGGAAGGGATTGATCTGGACTACCAACTTGGTCCAAGATCGACTTGCTTTGATTTGGGGAAGAGGCAGATTCGAATAAAATTAGCAACAGGTCCGTCGCGCGTTCTCGCTGAGCTTGTTGCGTGAGAATATTGAGCTCCAGAGAAATCGTTTCCAAAACCCAGGATGTCGAATGCAAAGTGGCTACAATCTCACTGCAGGTGGTCTCAATGACTTTACCACTGCTCAAGATGAGTTGCCCACCCGCGATGGAGTGGTTGGCCGGTATCGATAGCGGTAAAGCACTTGCTTGGGCGATGAAATATTGTTCGGTATTTCGTAGGTAGCGAGAGACTGGCTTGCAGGAATATTCGTGTAGACAGAGTTGTCGAATGACCCGGTAGGCTTTTTCAGCCAGGATTGGATCCCTCTCGAGCAGCGAGAATTCACCTTCACTTTCTTCTGAATTGCTTGAGGCTTGACCCATCCGGAGCAGATTGAGAATAGCGTGGAAACAAGACAATTTGGCATCGGGCGATCTAGGGTCAGCTAAAGCCATAGTATCTTTTGAGGCTCGTGCATCGAATCCCAAAAGATAATGTGCCACATTAGGGGCAGCTCGATGAGGTTGAGTATTCTGGAGCAAAAGATCCAAGATGGCACTTCTGATGGCCGAGGAAATTCTAGACATATCCCTTTCTTCTAGGTCACCAGATGTGTCAACTACAAAATCGTCATCATCTATGTTGCGAAAGGTTGACCCGGCTGCTTCTAACCGACCCATAAAGTTACCGAGGATCAAAAGGCTCTCTTCTGAAGAGTCCAATAGGCCCAGTAAGCGGTTCATTCGCCCAGGATACTGTCCATGGAAATGATCAGCGGCACTAAAGAATGTGGATTCGGCAATGTGAGTTAAAAGCTTCACAGCGAGGTAGGCAACTTCCTCATCCTCCACACACCCCACCAACACTGCGATTGAAATCACCATGCTGCTAGAGTGAAAGATGTGCTGATCTAAGCTTTGAGCTGACCGTGCCCATATCACTCGGTCATGGGGGATATTTGCGGCTGCGTGATTGAGTACGTGAGGTAAGACGCCGTCTAGGAAAGGCTGTTGTAGTTCAATGACCCGGTGGACGATCCTGAGAGCACGGAGAACACATCGACAGGTAATATCGGACTTTTGAGGCTCATTTTCAACAAAGCGAGGTCCATTGAGAAGGGTTTCAAATACTTGACGCGTGAGCTCAGTATTGTTGAGTATGCGAAGCATGATTTCAAACCCTGGATGCGTTACTACGGCCAATACTGCTCGAGAATGAGCTTCACTGCCTGAGTGCGCATTCGAAAGTGTCGAAGTTGCTAAAAATGGGCCGATTTCGTATGATGTTAAACATCGCTCGATGAATGCCAGACATACTTCGAAAACCTGGTATCTTTCTTCTTGATGCAAGAAATCACGCGATCCCACCTTTCGGAAAACTTCGTCGACCACGAATCGTAAATAAGGCTCGATACCTGGAGATCGGGATGATACCCCAAGGTTTTCAGGGATGGACTGCAGCTCCAGTTCTTCCCCTTTTTTGACTGGTGACCGGCGCGCTGGTGGATGAATCAAAGCAACCAACAGACGGATAAAAGCTGTGGACCCGGGGTAGACTTGATTGGTTGCTTCGACCTCTTCCAGCTCAGCCAATATACCGGTCCTAATCAATTCACCACTGGTCAATGAGAGCGCCCCCGCAGCGCCGAAATCAGCAGGTAGATCCCATGAGTTTGTTGATAAGATTTGACTATGTTCAAGCGTAAGCCAACACTTGCGGGCAATATCAGCACTGATCTTGCTACCGGGGGCGGCAAAAGCGGCGATGGCTAATAGTAGTTCAGCCTTGAGGTCCAACGGAATCGGGCAGGCAGCCAAAGCGAAAAGGGTCTGGATGGGTCGATATTTTTGATGATCGTAGAGCGTAGCTTGGGCGATTGATGAATAACGGACGATTTGCCGGATGACTTTGGCATATTTCTTCAGTATTGACACTTCAGGCGGGAAGAGCTGTCTGTTTTCGGGAGTGCTGTTCTTTTGCAATGATAGTGCTTGAAGTGCCTGTATGTAGTACTGAAATTGGCCAAAGATGGATGACCAAGAGCAAGTCAAGAGGTTGATCCTGCCCATAGCATCAGCAATGCGGGACATTGTAGAATTCATCCCACTCGTTCCGTCGTCAGAGGAGCCGCTCATGAGGAAGGAGTAAGCTAGATCACTACAGCGCGGGCCCGTGGCTAAAGACGCCAGCATTTCGTAAAACGATTGTACCATGCCGAGTTGACGGCATTCGGAGGCCCATCTAACAAACCCAGTTAATTTGGTTGAGCGTCCCGACGTCAACGTGGGGTCATCGATGTTATCTTGATTTTCGCCTACTCCCCAGTATACCAATGCAGAATCGGGGGTGTTGCGATGTATGGCAGCAATGACTTCGAACAGGGCTTCAATGTCATGATGAGGTGATGGAAGGCTCTCTGACATATCAGGATTAGATGTTTGGGTCATTGAGTGGTAGCGCATTGAGACGTGTACATCTTCTTCTTGATTGCGCAATCGACGTAGAACAGATTGAAGCGAAGTGACAAAAGTGATCATTAAACGGTCGATTTGGGCGACAACTTCCGATCTGAACCCTTCCTCGATACCCAACAGGTCATCTGCAGTGGCGACTCGTAAAGCATCTTCCGTTCGCGGTCCTAAGACTTGAGGAGGCGTTTCTTCTAGTAAATCCTTCTTCTTGAAAGCCAATAAGTCGGAAACCATGAATGGAAACGCGCCATTGCGGATCGCAGACATGACCATCTGATCTATAATGTCCTCCCAAATTTGTGTTTCGTGCTCGAGTCGCGGATCTTGCCTAAAGAGAGTTAGGAACTTCGGTCAGCTACGAAAATCCCCCTCCACCCTCCCAAAGGTTTTGTATGAGGGACACCGTTACGTACTGGTAGGCTGAGCCAAGAAATAAACACCACTGCAGCAATGCGACTGCCTTGACTTGCCGGACCAGCCATCGCTTTTGATTCAGTCGCTCAGTCATCGTCTGCAGAAAAGGAACATCGTTCCACAGCTCCGTGAAATAGTTATACTCGGCTTCCGTCGATGAACTACACTCGACATCCATTGCTGCAAGGAAGGTCATCAAGAAATGGCAAATCAACGGATCCTCAGAGTTCATTCCGGCAAGATAATCGACTAGACTCAAAAGGTTTTCCTTGCTGAGCAATCGAGAAAATGCGATCAGATATAGAATTTGCCCGAGTTCGCGTCTTTCGGATTGATGCTGCTCTAGCATTCTTTGGACGATCTCATCGCTGAATTTGACGACGACCTCGTTGGATTTTTCCGCAGCTCTTTGAGGGGTGGTAGATATAGATCCAAAGTTAAAAGCTCCAGTAGTGTTGTTCATCGATTGAGCTCCATAGGTATTGGAAGTTGAACTTGAAGTGAGCTGAGTTTTTAACTTGATGATTTGATTCTTGGATTGCTCGATTTCTTTGAGCACCTTCGAGATCCACGTGTCTTGTTTTATTGAAGCTGACCGACTGTTCACCAGACTATTTCGGAACCGCTCGAGTTCCTCACTCAGACCGCAGTCGTCATTTTCAGGATCGGCAGGTTGAAAGATAAGTTTAAGAAAGTTCAGTAGGGCCGATCGCTCCTGATAATAGATGATTACAGCACTGTCCGCGTTGGGCCTTCCATAACGCGCTTTACGCGACATCCCATGCTGTAAAAGGATAGCGCATTGATTTTCGGACAGTTCAAGTTGTTCAGAGAGATAGAGTGCCTCATGGGTGAAGTCGGGTGTGTGGCTGTGCAGGGTAGCTTGATAAACAAATTGGCCTGTGTTTCCAAAGAGGCAATCAAAGGGATGCATCATCTCCCCTCAGTAAAACTGGTGGACATGGTAGGTGAAGATGAATGATACATGAGAAAAACTCTACCTTTCCGGATCTGTTCTGCTTCCTTCGGATTCCTAGGTCGTTTATCAAACAGTTGGATGAGAAACGGTCGGGCGCGATCCAGCTCTAACCGCAGCCGGGGTAGCAACGATGGATCAGGTTTGGCGATGAGATCTTGGAGGAAGTCGAAAAGTCTGATAAACAGGTCGGGAATATACTCGGTCGCCATCCTCAGAGGTTGATGATGCTTTCAAAGTGATAATCGATGGTTGATAATAATCGAATTGAGTTTCATGAATACGATCGAGGTTAGTTTGAAATCGGAGAGCTTGATCGACACGAGATCGAATCGGTCAGATTAAGTTCTTTCCTCTGAAGATAAAGCGGGTAGGGAAGCAGTCAAAAGACTTACTGTGCTGTCAGGTCCTCAAAGCAGCCAAGCATCTGCTGATGAATATGGGGAGCTAAATGGTCAACAAGCAGGAGGGATAAGGGTTTTGACGCCTTATTTGTATGTATGCAGTCGAGACCGATCCGACGGGCCAGGTCAAGTTTTTGGTGGGCTTGATTACATCAGCAAACCGAGCTCAAAACAAGGGCGCGCGCGGCGCGAGCATCACGCCGCCGCGCTCCAAACTGGTATGTAGCTGGGCGTCCACCTGAATCAAAATAGGTTTCTGCTCCCTTTTTGAATCAAACATAGGCCAAGGCATCCCAAACGCAAGTCTCTTGAGCTGAAGCCTGCAATATTGCTCCTAATGAAAATTTCTTAAAAAACTGAATGAAATGCCACTGATCAGACAGCTGACGAAAATTTCTGTCCAGGTCCGGTCCAATAGGACCGATCGATTCAACAAATAGTTTCGAAAGATCAGGACTATTGGTAGTGGCAATGGCAGCCTTAAGCTAAGCGCACATAGCTTACAATATAAGTCACCGTGATAGTATCTACGTTGAATGTCAGAGAAACAGCCTGATGTCTGGACGGAGGCGCCTTCTCCGAGGCTCCCGAGGGGATTTGATAAGTTTTAGATTTCTTTGTGAGCTTTCCTCGTGGCATTGTCGCTGAGAGAGGTTTAATTTTGAGCGTGCACCAGAGGAATCTGTGAAACTACAGACAGAAATCTGAAATCATCGAACATGTGTGATTTTCGGTAGGAAAAACTGATAGTTCGCATAGATTTCGTCGTTCTAACACTTGTAAAACCACGATTAATGGAATGAAGCCCACTCCAAAATCATTCCGCAGTCTGAAAGAGGAATAGAGAGGGGATTTATTTCTCTTCTGGTGCCATCCTCGACTTTGCTATAAAAAAAATTATCGGAATCTGATGGCAACCAATAGGACCCCACATTAACCGGACAAAGGACTCTATGACTTCGCGTTCCATCGGTGTTTTTTTTTATGGCAGGCCTTGGCAAATGGTCTGCCAGAGCGAGGACCTGAGACAGTCGCTACCTTTTTTTTTCCTTCAGACGTACATCAGTGAGCGAAGTACCCTCCTGACCTTTCCAAGAGTACTGTATGGCAGATCACCAACAAACCCAGTTCATGATGCACTCCTCGTGGGCCGCGTTCTGCGGATTTTTGCTATTAGCATTCATGTCTGGTCTATTGATGTTTAGGCGAGCACCAAACTTGTTGTGTAGAGGAGTGTGATCGTTCTAACTTGCCTCTTGTCTGGCTTGCTTAGTTAGAATTCACAATGGAAAGTTACTCGCTAAAAATAATCTGGCTTTCCAAACTGTGTGTTCAACTTCGACGATTTGAACGATTTGTATTTTTTGATTCTTTCCTGCCTTTGACTTTCCCTGTCCTCGGGTGAAGTACTGATCAAACTCAGGATCCATCATAATCACTTCCAGCAGTAACCTTGGCCATTCTGATTCAGAATTATGTTTGCAATGCGCTTCTGCATTCATTTCTTATTATCTTTCTTGCTTTTCCACATTCATCTCGCAACAGACGCACTACCTAGAGTAAATTCTGAACCAGAAACCCTTGTTAGAACTGCTTCACCAGATCCACTAAGTCCAAAAATTATCAATAGTCCGCAAGATATAGAGGGTAAAGCTAAAACTGCTGCTCATCTGCAAAGCTTTCGAGGCCAACAACCTGAAGAAACACAAGCGACCGACGATCCAACAACGGAAATATCATCCAGCCCTACGTATTCGCAATCTTCCCCTCGTGAAAGCATAAAATCAAAGGAGAAATATTATGATTTGAACGAGGGAATTGAACCGGAATCGGTTTTTCATGAAAACAACTTAGGACGGACCGTGTTCATTTTCTGGAATTGGTTCAAGCAGCTTTGGTTGCGTCTAGGAGACAAATTTGTTGACAAGTTTTTCAAAAGCGAGCTCAAAAGGATTTATAAGACTCCATCGAAAAAAGGCCTTTATGATCCCGGTATGTGCGCGTTTTTTTTTTTTTTTGGATTTATCAGGATAAAGAAGAAGGACATTTTAGTTCAAGAAATTGTAGCCAGCTGATTTGATTGGAGATCTTGACCTTTCCCTTCAAAAGTGCCATTGAACCGCTGGGATGGTGAGTGATCGCTCTCACAATCAACCCAGACTCGAAAATTCAAGTTCTGAATTTCCTTGTTTTCTTTTTACCTTACAAATTATACAACGACGCATGCTCAGCTCTAGATGGTACGTGCCCCTCGGTTCTCTCAATCTCAAGAGCTTACTCTTCGTGATGTATTGGGCAGTGTAGAACTGATCTTGCAATTGCTCCTCACAGAGCGTGAAATGAAAAATGAAGCGGCTGCACTGAGAAAGAAGCTACTTGAAGATTTTCGTAGCCATCCCGTTTTCTTGAAAGAGGATGAAAAAATGGTTTCGTCGCCCAATCTCGTTAGATTACTGAAATGGTTTGAGGACTTCAAGGAGCCCAAAGATTGGACCGATAGCGACTACGCTCGCATGGTCACATCACTTATATCCAAAGTGCAGACCGAGGAAAAGTTAGACTCTGAAGATGTGCTGACGTTGCAGCTGATCAAGTACCTCGCATTCTTCAATCCCAAGGCGCGAGAAGTGTTCAAAACAAAGGCGCGCGGTCACGACCCTGGTGGCGAGGAAGTACCTGTCCCTAGCCTATGGGGAAAGCTGATCACTGCAGATCTATTATTTCAAGATTATCCACGACAGACTTTGTACCCTCATAGATATCATGGTTTATTAGAACAAGTCAGTATGGGTGAGTTTCAACAGGCCAATGTGTCACTTTTTTGAGAAGAGCTTGTCAACAGTTGCTAAGCCCGTGATTACATTTGGAAATCAAGAATGGCGCGAAGAATTCAGAAGACGATTTATAGCGGGCAAGTTATCCTCTGCCGCGGTCCAGCCTCCCCTTGGTTTTCGAATGAGGGAAGAAAGGCACCTTCGGAAGATCGTCGGGGAGCTTCAGGAGCTTCAATTTATCACAAAATGGCCTATTGATGGTGAAGGGATGTACAATAACCCCGAGAGACTAGTCAAAAAATGTATCAAATTTCTGGCACAACAAGCCCACCTTCCCCCTGAAGTCAATGAAGACACCAATCGTCTACATCCCATCAAGCTGGTCTATACAATTCTTAATCACGTTTATGAACATAGTAAAGGAGATTCAAACACACAAATATTGATCGAGAGGCTCATCAAGCGAAACGTTTATTGCCAAAAAACCATTTACGCTCACGTCCTTTTGAGACAAAAATTCACTCCACGCGAGTTCGCTTCGCTGACACTCTTGGAAGATATTGGATTTTACGATCTCTTGACGCCTGGAATGAGGAAACGTTTACAATATCGTGGGTGATAGCACTTTTCTACTCATCACGAGGACTTTATAACCGTTTGTTTCACGTCTCAGATTCTTACATTCCTCCTTTGCTCTCTGTATTCACCAAGTCGCGGAGAGGGAAGTGGTGTTAAATACATCAAGTGAACTCTACAGAAATGAGAGTAAGTTGAGCTATCTAATCTTTTTTTATTTACTTATTTGGATGAGCTCCATCTCGAAGTAACTAAACTAGAGCCACTTGAATTCCTTTGCGCACCCCGAATTCATCTGATTTGAACCTTGCAAAAAATCTTGAAAAACATTGCATAAACAGAGGAAATCATTGACTACACAAAAGGTACTCCAAACGTCTATATAACCTGGGTCTGAAAATAGCGCTAACTGAATTCTGATACTTCTAGGCAAAAGGGAGTTACCGCGTCTGGTGACGCCTAGCTCAAATTATCATTTACCAGCTGAAAAAAATTTGGATGAAGCAGTTGAGCTCATTATTAAACAGTTTGAGCTGAACAGCCAAGAGACAAAAAAATTAGAAAGTGGCGAGATATCTTTAGAAGAACATGAAGCTCTTTCCTTGCAGCAAGCCGTGCTGGTAGCAGAGCTGATGAAAGTAGTGTCAACAGGGCCCCGTATCTGGCGAAAAGTTCGGCAGAGACTTGTCGAAGATGTGGGACTAAGGGTGAAAATATTCAGTCTTCTAAACACAAAGGCAACCTTGATATTGGATGATATCAATGTTGGTAAAAATGAAGTAAGCGGTTTTGGGCTTGCCGATTTTAGACACAAAATGGCAAAAGGTACGCATGCAGTGAATCATCTCACATATTTGTTTAGGTGAAGGGCTTCTTGAGAGGTCTAACACATACTATTTCCGAAATGCCCACCGCACTTAGAAATCACGGAATACCTGAAAAGATCGGCTCTCATCTCATCACTGCAAAGTATAGTGAATGATAAACTGAAGAGAAGGCTTATCGATCCCGAGGCCGCGGACGACATCACCGATTTCTTGTCAAAACTCAGAAATGCTCGGCTCGAAGTTCAATGGAGCGCCTTGAAGTGGGGGCTTTACGATATATGTCCCGTGGAAGTATCTAAGGAATCACTCAAGCTGATACGTGAATACGGCTTTGGTAGACTTCCTGTAGATATCCATGCAAAACTGGCGAACTTGATGACGCATTTGACTTATGGGGACAGTACTAAACATATAAACGACATGTATTACATGGCTTTTCAAGATGTGCTTGATTACCGAGCGTTCGCTTTTTTTCAAAGAACGATTCCTGAGAATGCAAATCAAGAGGTCGATTCTGAACGAGAAAATCTTGACGGGTTAACCGAGCAACTGCGAAGTAAACTGAGGATATTGCAAGAGGAGCCAGAACATACACCCTTTGAACTAGTATCTTAAATCATTCAAGTCAAAATATGAATCACAACTCGACCTGCCAAAAAATAAATTAGAAATCGTTCTTCGAAATTGCATTCTGAGGACGGGAAAGAAACATATGTAGGATGAAGAATCCACCAGATGGGTGACATGGGGACGAGGATATAGAACAAAGCGCTAGGAGTAAAAATGAATATAAAAGAGTGAAACTGCATTGCAGAAGAGGTCACAAAATGACATCTTCCTACAGGGTTCAAGCCACCATTTGCATAGTTTGATTGTGTTTTCTTATCTATAAATCAATTTTTTTATAAAAAAAATCACCAATTTCTTCTCACTGTTTGGAAAAAAGAATGATCACCAAAAATTTGACCTATATCATCACCTGGCTTCGCTTGAAGCATTGGAATGATGAAACCACCCCCTGACCTGTCACATTTATTGTATTTTTACATACGTTTGGGCTATTCTTCTTGTCCAATTAAATTCTTTCTTATGTTATCTCATGGAAAAAAACTGTTTCCAAACTAGCCCATCCAAATAAATGTATTTTTAGTTTTGCTTTCCCTTTCCAAAGAAATTTCATCAAATTTAACCTGCTGGTTAGAAAGTACATCTAACCCAGAAAGGCTTGCAACTTTTGGTTTCAAAAAATAAAAATAAATCCACCAGAAAAAAAAATTGGTGTGATGTTCCCTGCAAGCTGAGCACATATATTTGAACAAGGTATATGTACTTATGTATGTACATCCTTGTTTAAATGCAGCTGTCATGACAGCTACAACTATTTTTATTTTTGGTAACAATTTTTTTTATATTTTGCAAGTGAAAGATGGAAGCCTTTGTGGGTTGGCTGTATCTTCAACACTCATGCACCCGGAATATCAATGATCACTTGATAACAAGGGACATCCAAAACTACAAAGGCCCCTTTGTAATTTGAGATGTTACTTGCTGTCAAGTGATAATTGATTTTTCCTGGTGATGTGCACTACTAGAAATCAAATATTAAACCCATGGGAGAATTCACATTTATCAAAATTGAAACAAATTCACATTTGAAGTAGGTTTTTGTCACCGGATGAACTCTGGAATTTAGATTCATAGGGTATGAAGTGATGGCTCCAGATTGATGGGGAGTGTTCCAATGAGAATGAATCTTTTGAATATGTGACTAGGAGGGGGATTAGGCCAGTTTTTGGCAGAAGCTGAGGTCAGCTTTAGAAAGTCTCCCTCATGAAGCAGTCTTCAGTGACCAATGTGTGATGTGCAGCATTTTTGCACATCATCTGTCATGGGACCTGTGGCAAAAATGGCCTTGAAGGCTGAGGGATCTGTCCCAAGAAAATCATGTAAATCATCAAAGCTTAGGACCTGATGTTAACATGGTTGCCCAAATAATTCCATAGGTTTGGAATCTGAATTCTTGACGGAACTTCAGTTCCTTGCTACTCCATTATCCATTGTAGTAAACTTTTGGTAATTTGAATATATACAGCCATACATGCTCCCTCCAATCTATTGATGACCCAGACATGAAAGACTTGACCCCCCCCCCTGCCCTTACTTCTGCTTCCAAAAGAGTGTTTTTGGTTATTTTGATGTCACAGTTCAAACAGGAAAGCTGTATACCATATCTATCAACATGAAAGGTTGGGCTCCTGCGGTGAGGGTCCTGCGGGGTCCCCCAAGGTGGCTTTTGCCATGGACTTGGACAAATCATCTTCTCCTGGCACTTTGCAGGCCATCATGCTCGGACACGGCGGTCCGAACAGTCGTCGGACAGATTGTCCGACCAGTCTCGCACCCCGTCGGACCGGCTTTGTAATTCAGGCGGTGCGGACTCCGGAGGCGCCGACGGAATGCTGTCGCGGGACGTGTTCACGTCTGGGTCACAGACCAAGTGCCAGGACAAAGCTTGCAATTATTCAAGTCGTAGCTCCACAATCGCCGTGTCATCTTGTTACCCCAGTGCCAATACCTTCGGAATCGCGTCACATTCACTACTGCCGACTTCTTGGAACCACGCCTCGGTCTTGAAATAGATCGCCCTCGCACACCGTCTCTGAATTTCTGTGTCCATCTCTGTTCCTATTATACCATGGGTGCGTTCTGCTGCAAACCTCGCAAATTTGAGTGAGTTGTTCTTCTTTCTTTCTTTCTGGATGGTGCACACCACTACACCAATAGAGCATTCGTAGCGGAAAATATCACAGGCCACAAAAAAAATCTCAATATCCGACTTATGTAAGAAGAGAAAAAAATAACAAAAATGATTGATCTATGGAAAAATAAACCCAATCAGTGGCGAAGGACACCAATTGACAGAGCTCCCGGCATCCACCACTCAACAACCGAGTGCGACGCGTGTGCCAGAGAATCCAACCACAAACACCAGGGAAGAGGATCCCCGACGCGCGGCAGCAGCGGCGGCCGAGGCACGAGCACAGGCGGCCAAGAGCAGGGGAACCAAGGGGGGCGATATCGCCAAAGCACTCTCTCATCAACCTGCCGATGGCGGCAGGGTCGACCAAGCTATTGCTGCCGGTAGTGAACCCGCGAACCAGAAACCCTTAGTCGTTTGTCCAATCCTCCCTACCTTCTATCCACTTTTTTTTCTTTCAAGAAAACGGAGGCTGAATGCTTCCCGTGTGCCCTTTTTGGATCCACATCTTTCCTTGGGGATGGACGTGTCTTTCATGGATAGTGGGATTGAAGGCTTACTCGAGCTCTTCTCGAACTCGATTGTTTAAATTACATGTAACATTAATCTGCAGGGTTTCGCATTCCCATCTTGACTCGTTTTTTTGGCTTGATTTTGTTTCCTCTGCTCTGTATCGAACGAATGGGTGGCTGTGGAATCGATTATGTCCCATGGGAGATTGTTCTAGGATTTTAATTCACGCGTTATGACGTGATTGGGTTTTATGGATACATGAATCTACTGAATCTTCAGAACCAAAATTATTTAGATCTTGATTATTTATATAAGTAATTGATGAAATGTAATAGGTTTTCTCTGATAAATAAATTTCCCCTACTCCAACGATCAATGTGTGAGTCTAATAGAGGAATGTGACGAAAGTATAGCAGAATCAGCTCCATAAACAAACCAGGAAAGGCTGCAGAAAGTTGGGAATCAATTGGCATGAAGAATACATTTAACTGCGCGGTTTCCAAGGTATACCCGACTTGATTGCCTCGTCAAAAATTGCTCTCCAGTTTGTTTGACGGGGGACCGCATCAAGATCGCTTTGAGAGGGCAAGCCAACCGGAAAAACCTGTTTATCAGGGGTCAAAATGAGGGTAAACATTGATTAATCTTCTATTTTGTTATGAAAGGCCAGTGTTTTCTTTTGACGGTAGATGTAAAAACCCGTTGGGAGTTTTACCTGAACAATCGGCCCACATCGGATCAGTAAGGTTGCCACACCAAGCCCGCCTTTCTCTTTGACTCTTGTTCGTACGTTTTCGATCTCTTTCAGCGCATTAGACATCCCCACATTCGCGTTGAAGAAGTTCGCCGAATCCAACGAACCGACGTGCGCCACGGTAAATTTCGAGTGAATTGAACTTTGGGATCCATCTTGATTTTTGATAGCCTTGTCTTGATCTTCATCATCTGTAATTTCCGTAAATTTTTCGCTCTGGTTCTCTTCATTTAGCGTTAGGCTGATCATCAATAATATTAGCTTCGAATTATGCGGGTTCCGGATGAGATCCAATCCATGTATCGCCGCAAAAATCAATACATTCTTGTGAAACTCGCACCTGTTGATAAGTAGGTATTTATGTGAGTGTTTCAACCATCATTGATTGATTTTTTCTGTGTCATAAATTATGAGGAAAAGATGACGTACCACTTTTTCAATAAGCCTTCAATTTCTGCTCTCTTTTTCTCGAAATGAGCATTAGACAGGAGATCAGTTGGAGGAGAATTGAGTGGATTGAGAGCTGCGTATGGATCGCTCGAAGTTGGTTGAAGGTCTTTGAAATTGCCACAGATCAATTTGTGTGTCTTCCAATTCGCCCTCTGACATTTCTGATCACAATAATAAAAGTTGAGGTCATTGGTATTTGAATTTTGTGTCGGAGGTATTTTACATTTGCTACAAATCTTCAGTTCTGAGATCAGCTTCAGCTTCGAACATTCTCTGCATCGGGCGGACTTGTCTTCGGTTGATGAAGGTGGATTGGAAGACGAGGTTGATGACGATGGCTCGGTTGATGTTTTGAGTTTCAGATTTGAGTAGGGCGAGAGCAAGATCTTCTTGTGTTGGAGATAGATGACCAGAAGCGAGATGAAACTGAGGATGGTTAGTGCTACTGTAGAACGGTCGATTTGGTTCAAGAATTCCATGTTGATGAAGAGTGAAGAGAGGGAATGAGGCTGTTCGAGGCCATGACGAGCTGGTCTTTCTCGGTCCCCCGAGGTTTGCTGAAGTCTCTGGCACGGAGGGTAACGGTGGTATCCGCCGCCCCGGCTCTCACAAGCTTCAGATGCACCTCCGCGCCGCCGGGTCAGATACCCTCGGGAGTCGGAACCCTGGTGCTCTTCAAGGCTCCTCGGCGTGCTTTTGTGAGCTGTGTGC